TCGCATTCCCGGTGGCATGATGATCATGAAGCACTCGATGACTTTCCTCGATTTGCCATTGTTGCTGAATCGCGGCTTTGAGCGGGGCGTCACTTACATCAGGAACCCTTTCTAAGAGCTCCACGTCAGGAGTTGTCGGTATGAGCGAAATCAGAGCTAGGCGCTCTATCGTGTCTTCGAGCACCGCAATCACCCGCTGAGCCTGATCTCATCATCTCCACGACTGGAACTAAGCAAGACGGACCTCCATATTTGTTAGCTTGTGCATAATGTAACGAGCGGCAAGTGATGCTCAGGTGATATATTGCTCGTAGATCCACAGATAACCCAGCGCCGGGGTCGAGTTTCCGTCCACTTGGCCTTTCGTATCTCCCACTAGCCTGAGCTAAAGGAAGCAAAGTAAAATCCTCCCTCAAGTGGAGGGTGAGCTCAGTTTCAATTAAAGATGCCAGAATGAAGGCCGACGGACCGCGCTTGGATGGCGCAGCCACCTCAGCGGGGATGGAGGAGGGCAGGGTAGGGCGGGTGCTTCATTTGTGCCGAAGGAGGGTGGTGGGCGGGCCAAAAATACAAGCCGCGCCACCCCGGACCCGGGGGAAGCGGCGAGCTGGGAGAGGACCACCACAACCAGCAGCTTTGTGGCGGGATTTCCGCCTTCAATATCTACCTTTAGCTTAGTTTGAAACTGGCATTGCAGTGCATGTATCCGCCCTATTTATCTCATTATACCTTTACCTTACAGATACGCGTCGCCGTATCTTTTCTCTCTTTCTTATCTCACATCTAGCGAGGGCTGCCTTGGGCTCCGTTCGCGATCTACCCCCCCAGCCTCCTATGCAAAAAGCGCTAACTACTATGATAGATGAAGACTCCAAGAGCCGCAAGAAGGCCCTCAAGGGCCCCAAACCCATGAAGTATATGGATGAGGACGGAAATCCCGTCAGAGAGAGACCGAGCAGCACTACCGGGACCCGGTGGGGTGAAATCTCGAGCTCGGACGACTCGGAAGCGGGCCCCGAGGCCTAAACTGGAATCCCGCTGGTTCCGCCGGCCCCGCCGGCCGCCCGTCGCGCGCCCACTGTGCCCCCCCTCGCGCCCCCTGTTGTGTCGACCACCCCCCCGCACCCCGAGGCCTCTCCAGATAGGCCGGGCGCGGTAACTGTGTCTCGCATCGTGGCTAGAAACTCCCATCACCCGGAGCCCTATACTGGAACTAGAACCGTTCTAGTTTGTTCTAGTAGGCCCCGGGGCTCCGCGGCCGCCGCCGGCGGCAGAACCCCGCCCCGAACCCCCCCCCTGCGCTGGAGGGGACCCCAAGGGACCCGAAACGACCCCGATAATTTTGGGTCGGCAGCTGGGGGCTTTACTCAGGCGCTGGGGGGGTGGGCAGGCTCCAAACTAGAACGCGTCGAGTTTCCCGCGTTCAGGGGGCGGCTAGGCCCCAAACTAGAAAGCGTCGTATTTCCCGCGGGCTTCGACAGCCGCGATAACACCGCCAACGGCCCGGTGCTTTGCCCAGGCGCCCTTAGCGCCAAATGGACTCTCGCCAGCTCGGACATTCCCCTTAGCCAATCACAGTCTGCATTGGCGCCTGAGTATAGCACTCTATAATCTGATATAGAGTACATATACGTAGTAGGTATGACATCAGTCCAATCTATATCGCAGAAAGGCCTGCTGCTTTTGAACGCAGCTCATATATCTAGCCTAACGACAGTATAACTCACGTTCGATTGTTGGCGGAATGGGCTTTATTTCTGTGGCGAGCTCTGATTCGATGCGATAGAGATTGAAGCGATCATCGAATGTTATCAGATTTACAGCAAGGCCAAGATGTCCAAAGCGTCCTGCACGCCCGATGCGATGAAGGTAGGTTTCCGACGTTTTTGGAAAGTCGAAGTTAATGACAACATTAACGGACTGAATGTCAATACCACGTGTGAAGAGGTCGGAGGAAACGAGGTGACGAGTAGAGCCATTGCGGAACTCGTGGAAGACGCGATTACGATGCGATTGCTGCATCTTAGCGTGGATGTAAAAGCACGAGTAGCCGAGTTCGGTGATCTTTTTGGCGAGTAATTCCACACGGTTGACTGAGTTGCAAAAAATGACTGACTGATTAATCTCAAGCTTGGTGAATAGTGTATGTAGGCAATGCACCTTTTGTCTTTCCTCAACAAAAGCATAAAACTGGGTTATGCCTTTTAGCGTGAGATCATCCATGAGATTAATTTCGTAGGGATTGTGGATGAATTTTTCCTTGAAATTTTTCACCGTAACAGGGAACGTCGCTGAAAAGAGACAGATCTGGCGCTCGGGGGAGCAGTGGTGCACGAGTTTTTCCAGGAGGGGCTCAAACTCCGGCGAAAGCAGCTTGTCAGCTTCATCCATGATGACCGTATGGCAGCGACCCAATGCTGCGACGCCCTTCTCTGATAAGTCAAGAATGCGCCCTGGTGTGCCGACAAGTACGTGGACAGGCTTGTATAGACGCATAATGTCATCCTTCAGGGAGGTCCCACCAGTGGATACCATGCACTCAACTTTCATGTGTTTCCCAAGTTCACGGACTACGGCTGATGTTTGAAGTGCAAGTTCCCGAGTTGGGATTAGGATGAGCACTTGTATAAATTTTTTGGAGGGGTCTGTTTTCTCGAGGCAGGGAATAATGAACGCTGCAGTCTTGCCAGTCCCATTCTTAGCACGTGCGAGAACATTTCGGTTCTGGAGTATAATCGGAATCGCTCTCTCCTGGACAGGCGAGGGTCGCTCAAACCCCTTCTCAAATATGCCCATCAAGAGCTCGCGCTTCAGAAAGTAGTCCTCAAATTCCTGCCCTCGCGTTAGCGTTACATCTTCAGTTTGGTAGCGGGTGTCCTTAGCTGGTAGCTGCAAGTTGTCGCGCCACGTCTCATCATCATCTGCTGAATGTTGCATAGCCTGCGAGGTTACAATTGACGCCATCTTCTCGGCGAGCTCTGATTTTGTTATGGAGATGGTACCATATATAAGTCGCGCCCGGACGGGCAATGCGGACGAGTTAACTCGATGCGCGCCAACTGTAAACAAGCCCACTTGTCCACTGTCATACCTGCCTTAGCTACAGCTGAGAATTCGTCACGAACCTGGCCACCCCATGCCTTTTTAGTAAACCCTTTAACCGCAAGGCGCGCCGGCGGCGCGCCGCAGTATGGCTGCAACGACCTTCCAGCGCGCAAGCGCAAGCTCGCGACGGACGCAGACGGCGCAACGGTCGCACCCCGCAAACGACGGGGCACCATCAAGTACGGACAACGAACAAATAATGAGCAACCAATATCCTAACTAGGATTTATGCTCAGTCCTCTGATAGGGTATGAGGGACGATCGTATGCCCCGAGACACCCGCATTGCGCGCCGAAAGAGGCGACTCGCCCATGCTCTGCGAAGCGCAGCCCGCGCTCATCGTTATCTTCAAAGAAATCCTAGAAAATAAGGACTTGGCCGGGGGTTTGGTAAAGTTTTTGATCAAGTTCGGCGCAAATGGGGCGCCGCCCGGCCCCATTAAAAAAGCCTGTACTTTGCCGCAAAACAGCCTCGATGGGGCCGAGCTAGCCTGTAGTCAAGCCCGCCGAGCGACATGAGGGGCCGGAAAGACATCCAGCGGCCGTACTTGTCGCGCATCGCCACAATCGTCTCGTTTCAGCAAGGACCTCACGCCATTCAAGCATACTTAAGTACTGCTGCTGGTATATTTCCGCCGTCTTTTAACTTGGCAATTACGTAACCGCGGGAGCGAGGGGAGCCACCGGATGTCGTAGGCAATCCGGCGCCCTATGTTAAGGCGACAATGGCATGAATGGCCGCTATCGCCCTCAGAACGCGAGTGTGATTATAGTGCTTGGCGAAGCTGTTTTCGACAACATAGATGGCTACAAGAGATTTGACGGTGACATATCGCGAGTTTCGCGCGCGCAAACGCGCATTTGCACAATTGGAACGATGGACGGAAGATAATGTAGTGGATGGTGTACTATTGCCCACCTGCGACACCGGTTACGCTGAAGTTGGATACGAAACACCGACCCCCGTTCAAGCTGTGCCGCGGTGGGTTGATATTGTCCATGCAGTCAACGTGCAAGGTGACGCAATTGAATGCGAGCTGCGGCACATGGCAGCGTTACAGCGGCAACGGCTTTTAGTGACTTTTGACGTGTCACAAGAAGAAGTTGTTGACCAGGAGCTGCGGGATGTCATTGCGATCGTTCAAGAGAGTTTGCGTGCCGCAGAGACCCTGCTAGCGGCGCCTGGCAATGGGTGGTATGATGCGTCGCATGATTCGAAAGCCACTCTCTCCTCGCGGCTTAATGCTCGGAAGTCCCTCGCTAGGCGTCTCCAGGAACTAGGCACCAAGTTTCGAATGGCACAGCAGGGTGTTATTGTTCACCTCGCACAACCAAATAATGACAACAAGGAGACATCTGCCAGCAGTAGAGATGCCAGACGAATACAACCGCCTTGATCTCAGTGTCTTTGATATTTCCTAGATGACATCGCCGGACTCACAGGTGGGAAACCATTGACAACGAGCTTGCATTTCTCACCGAGGGTGCAGAGCACCGTGCACTTGCGCATCTTGACGCACGTCGCCCCGGTGACCGTGTCATGTCCTTGGAGCAGATCTCGCAGCTAGAAGAGGATGCGGCTCTTGCTGCAGAGCGTGAAGATGATCTTCGAGCTATCACCAAATCTGCAACGGACGTTTCCCACATATTTAGAGAGCTTGCCGTCCTTGTCATTGACCAAGGTTCCGTCCTGGACAGGTGCGTTCCCGCCTGCGCCCCTACCTTCTGCCTTCGTTTCTTTTTCCTTCCCTTCTCAATACGCTATTTGTGGTTCCTTATGAAAAACTTGACGTCAGTGGAGACATGCGCTAGGATTGACTACAACATGGAAAACGTAGCTGCGTTGACACGGACTGCAACTGAGCAGTTGGAACAGGTGGATAACTCGCAGGTTGACGTTAAGCCCCTCAGGTGTACTATTGTCCTCTTTTTTGCTGTCACAATTCTATTCATACTGCTCCTACGCAAAGCTGGCTCGCGCAATGCCGGGCCGCTGTGACCAGCTATGTGCGTCACACAGCGCTCTTTCCTCGATCTCAGGCACCGCGGAAAGTCAGTTTCAAACGCACTGCTCTAGAGCCCTGCCTGGGGTTCCCATGAGCTATCCCCTAGGGGGAAGTGCCGT